CCCCCCCCACAGCTCTGAGTGGCAGCCACCTACCAAAAAATTGCCTTTAGCTTTGAGTTCTTTACTGCCTAGCACTGCACACCCTTTGCAGAAAAAGGTCCGCTGTGGACTAAACTCTACTGCTCATTCACGCTTCTCCGACCATTAATTCCTAGAGCTAGAGCCATACTCTTTTGGGTAGCTGGAGCCCTCCATTCAGTACAGGCCAGCCACAGGCATGAATGGGGCCGCACATGCTCAGTAGTTTGTCATTTTGCAGAAAAATAAATGAAAGATTTTGTTTTAGCTTTTATCTTTAAAAGTGCAAATTCTTGCATTGTTTATATAGATTTATGTATCCTTCTTTCTTTCAGGTTTCAAGGGGGGAAAAAGGAGGAACTGATTGGAATTACCTATAACCGGATGATCAGAATGGATGCCAACACCGGCGATGCCATTAAAACTTGGAGGTTCAGCAACATGAAACAATGGAACGTCAACTGGGAAATAAAAATGGTGAGTTACCTCCGGAAATAATAAATCTTACCAATATATTCTCTGCCCTTTATTACTGTTATGTTTACTGAGCTTTAGATGTACTTGAAAGCAGCCTTTCTCAACCTTTTTACCACTCAAATGCTTAAAACGGGTTTCAGGTCTCGGGAGACCCCCACCAAAATTAGACAGACCGCTCATGGTACATTTGAGTTATCAGTAGGTTGTGGATTTAAATGAAAGAATTCAGTTTACTTAATAAGCATGAAAGGAAACAAATAAAGGAAACATATAAAGGAAACAGAGAAAATTGTAGTGACCATTTACATTTGTGGTCAGTGTAGACGTGACTCCTTACATAGGTGTCCAGTGTAGAGGCGACCCGGCGGCCAGTGTAGAGGCGGCTACCTAGGTTTGTGGCCAGTGTATGGAGGAGATGAGTCTGTCACTGCTCTCTTCTCAAGGAACCTCTAGCAGCCTCTGGAGAAACCTTGGTTGAGAGGCTGCTTTCAAGTGTGCTTGTATCCAATGGCTAAAAAAGCAGATAAGTTGACCATGGAGCACAATATCAGGGGGTTAAAGTATAACTAAAGGTATATGTACTTGTCTAGCTACATTTCCCAGCCACTGCATCATCCCGCGTGTTTACGCTCTGGTGTAAGATCACAGACTGGTGGGGGAGATAGTGATGTCATAGCACCACCATGTTCTGGCCTAGTGATTGGCCGCTCAGATCCCAACATTGTCACATGGAGGAGAAACCCTGCTCCGTTACCCTAAATGCCCAAAGTGACAACATCTCTTTGATTCTTATTGGTGGCTGTAGTGGAACACCATGACACCTAAGGCCCCTTAGTATCCTCACAATGCTTTCAATCATGGCAACCCCCACATGACTGTTTCGGGCCTGCTGATTGGCCGCTGAGATCCCAACACTGTCACATGGAGAAGCCCTGCTCCATTACCCGAAATGCCCAAAGTGACAGCGTCCCTTTTGATTCTAGTTGGTGGGTGTAGTGGAGCAAAACAAATGGCAAACACACATCAACTCATAACCAGCTTTACAGCAAGGTGCACATGGAAGGGCTTTATACAGCACAACAGCAAAATGTTTCCCAGCACTCTCACCAGCCAGCATGCAAAAAAAAAACTTATCTAACCGCTAAGGTTAAAATCTGAGGTTTTAGATACACGTCTTCTGCAGAATATGTAAAAGCCACACCGCCTCGTCAAGGCCCCTCTGTGTAGTGCGGTCCTAACTCTAACCTATGAGAGTCTCCATCTTGGAGCACATGTAGCAAAAGATCAAATTTGGGTGCCGGTTCACCAGGAGGCAGCCCAACCCCCTTAAAGGCACAGGAACACACAAGGGAACACGTTGACACATGAGGCCCCTCTGCTCCCTAACCATGCATTTTCAGCCAGCCAGTAACTCCTCCCCTCTTGCCTTCTTCCAGGTCACCGTAGAGTTTGCCGATGAAATGAGGCTCTCCTTCATCTGCACGGAAGTAGACTGCAAAGTAGTTCACGAATTTATCGGCGGCTACATCTTCCTGTCCACACGGGCCAAGGACCAGAACGAAAGCCTGGACGAAGAAATGTTCTTTAAACTC